TTTAACTCTTGTCTTGGATACAAATATTAGTTCTTCTCCCGACTGACCTGTGTAGGTAAGTATATTTTTCCAATTACTAATTAGTAGATTAATCTTTGTTTTCCTTTCTTTTTTCCGTATTAGTCTCTGTTTCTACTTACTTAGGTCTTTGCTATGTTGTCTAGATGTCCTCCCAAACCTCATGCAGTCATAGGTGGGGCTTTTTCAGAGGTGGCTGAGTCTAGAGTGTGTGACTGATTCATGGTGCAGTGCTAGGATTCAAAATGCTAGGCTTAAAAGTGGATAATTACTGAATCAGTCCACTGATTGGTTTGGCACTGTCTTAATCCCGGTAGCCTAGGTACAGTATAAGCAACAGAAGCAGGCTTGTCTTCTCTTACTGCTTTGCTACGTTCTGCCTGCCATTAACTGTTTCTCCTCTGCCATGTCTGTCTGCCATCTACCTGCCTTGGAGTCAGCTGGTTATGGACTGAAACCTCTACAAACTGTGAGCTAAATAAACCTTTCCTCCTTTAATTTTGAGTGTTGAGTATTTTGTCTCAGCAATGAGAAGAGTAACTAAGACAGTCTTCAATGCATATACACTTTAAATTTTATAGCGTATTTAAAATGTTTTTTTGCTGGGCGTGGTGGCACATGCCTGTAATACCAGCACTGAGACCAGAGCCTGGGCTACACAGTGAGTCCAGGCCACACTGAACTGCACAGTGAGACCCTGTCTCAAAAAAAGAAAAAAGGGTTTTCATGACATTTATGTAACTACTATGTGAGTTAAGCAGACATTATTAACATTTCATCCAAATGTTTGTCACTGGCCAACAAGGTGACTAGCAGGTAAACAAGGAAACAGCATTAGGCGAAATGAAATGACTTGCCCACAACAGCAGGCTGAGTCACGTTACCATCCCATGACTCTCATTCCACATTCTTCCCATTATTCGCTCATGGCTCTTTGTCACATTTGGTTTTTTACTGGAGAGGCCTCTGCTTCTATTCTTCCTTATCAAGTCTGTCTTGTATATCATATCAGATGAAACACAGTAATGCAGCACAGTGAGGTCTAAATGGTTCCCAATTATACAGAAGATAAAAATCAGAACTTTTTTTTTTTTTTTTGAGACAGGGTCTCACTATGTAGTTCAAGCTTGAACTCACTATGTAGTGCAGTCTGGCCTCAAACTTGTGATCCTCCTGCCTAAGCCTCTTGAGTGCTCCACTATGCCTGGCAAAAATCAGAACTTTATCTCTGCTTTTAGACTTGAAATCTCTTCTTTCCTTAAACTAGGCAAACACACTACTTTGTCTTTCTTGAGACTATGCTTTACCAGTGTTTGCCTTTGAGCTCCAGATTCTCGAGGAATAGTTATTATGGTAGACCTGGACATCTATGTCCTAAGCCTAATCTACAGACTAAATCTATACATATAAGAACTGCTTTATGTGCTTTGAGTCAGAGGTAGATAGGGAGCTTCTAGTAAATTTCTGACATTAGAAGTCATCAGGCTTGGGTTATAGCTTAGTGGGAGAGTACCTGCTCAGCATGTGTGAGGTCTTCATTTTGATCCTCAGTACCAAAACAACAACAGAAAAACTCCTCTATACTGGATGTGGTGGCACACATCTATAATACCAGCACTCAGGAAGCTGAGAATGGAGGATTTTGAGCTAGAGCCCAGCCTGGGCTATAGGCAAGACACTGTCTAAAAACAAAAACAAAAACAAAAATACTCTAGACTTTCACTTCCGGTAATGAAGAACTAGGTTTGCTTCTGCTATGAACCACTGGACCAAAACGAAACAAATACTCATGCTGGAGGGTACTGGAAAGCTAAATCAGTGAGGATTTCAGGGCCAACACCTAGAGAAGGAAGAAGAATGGGAGAGATGCCCATGCATTTAGGCCTCCTTTCTCTGGAGACATCTGGCCCTTCCAAAAGCAAATGAGCTGAATAGAGCTTTTCGTCAGTTCGCAGCACTATGTGGGCGTGGGAAGGGCAATAAACTAAGTTTAGCATTCACCAAGGGAGAAATAGATATGTCAGGTTTCTCTGTTGACATGCTGAAGCACCTTATCCTGCAAATGAGAGTGAACTGGAAATAGATCAGGACTCGCATGGAATGAATCACATTAGCCCTGACTAGGTGATGAGGAGTCTGCTCATGGCCTTAGTCTTGCCGCCTGACGGAATCAAGTCCTTGCAGAGGAAAGCAGCATTGTCTGGAGCCTCCGACTGTCTCTGTGGTGTTCTTTGCACAAGTGAGTATCCAGGCACTTGGGAGGACGACAAGCCAGACAGAGCACAGACACAGGACCTCAGGGACTCTGAGATGGAGAGTTTAACTGCGATTATGAACTTACAGAATATAAAAGTAGGGATGTTTTCAGAGGCCAGAAACACAGAACCAAACAGTTCTATTGGAAGATATAACAAAAACCTAATGGGCACATTTAACAGCCAGTTATACAGAGCTGAGGACAAAGTTAGGGAATTGGAAGAAGGCTCAGAAGAAGATGCACAGATTCACAGAGAGGCAAAGGGATAGAAAATTGCAGGGGAGCGGAGAACACATGAACTAGTATAAAAGAGGTCAATATATGTATAATTGAAAACAGGACAGGAGTGACAGAATGGAACAAAGGTATACTGAAGAACTGTCTAAAGTAAAAGGTATCATGCCACAGGTTCGACAAGGTCTTAAACCTTAAGCAAGAAAAAGGCAAAGAATCATGCCTGGTCACATCATAATAAAATTGGTGAAAACTGGAAACAAATTGAGACACACAGAAGAAAAAATTATCAAATGAATAAAAAGGCAGCTGCTTTGCAATTCAAATGACATTGTCTTCAAAGTACTGAAAGAAAATACTGCTGACCTACAATTCCTTATTCAAACAATATAACTTAAAATTTAAGACAAAGATATTTTCAAAGAAACAGACCTCAAGAATTCATCGATAGCCAGGCATGGTAGCACATCCCTGTTATTTGAGCATTTGGGAGGCTGAGGCAGGAGGATCACTGAGTTCAAGGGAAGCCTGGGTTACATAGTGAATCCAAGGATAGCTTGAATTACATAGTAAGACCCTGTCTCCAAACTCACAAACAAACAAGGAAAAAAAAAAGAATTCATTGCTAGCATACCTGTCCTAGAAGAAAGAGACCATAGGGAAGAGGAAAAATGATTTCTGGTGAAGGCACTGAGGTTCCAGGAGGAATGGAGAGCAGTAAAAGAGAAATATGTAGGTAAATCTAGATGAATATTTGCTTTACAAAACAACACAACTTTAATGTGAAAACATTTTAAAATAGTAACATCAGTTGAGAGGAGAAGGAAAATAAAGTGGGCTGTGGTGTTTACATTGCCCTGTAGGTGATGATGAGTATTAAACTTTTAGAAATCAAGGAAACAGAAAGACAGTGTGGCTATGGTAAAACTTAAGTTGATTTCAGAAAAAAAGCAATACAGAGGGAAGAGGAGCACACTGCAATCCCAGGAGGCTAAGACAGGAGGATTGCGAGTTTGAGGCCAGCCTGAGCTACATAGCAAGAACCAGTTTCAACAACAAAACAAAAACAAAAAGCCACGTTCAACTAAGATCATTTAAGGAGCATTTATATTGAAAGAGAGTACAAACCTGTGGTAGGGTATAATGGAATTGCAAGGAATAGTTCTGACACCCAGTCCAGAAGTGTTAGGTTAATACATTGTGTTCACTTGAGAAGTTTGAAAGGTTAACTAAGTGACTCAGCAGGGCCAGGGTCATCACTTTGTAAACATCCTGAGCCTGTGCAAGAGGAGGGCAGGAGCTGGGCGTGGTATCCCACACACTTAGGAGGCTGAGGCAGGATGATTGTTGCGAGTTTGAGACCAGCCTGGGCTACAAAGTGAGCTCAAGGCCAGCCTGAACTGCACAGTGAGACCCTGTCTCAAAAAAGACAAGAAACAAAACAAGAGGAGGGCAGGAAGGGCCTGCTTATAATATAAGGGAGGAAGAGGCTTGATCCCTACTTTTTTTTACTCTTCTTGCTTTTGCTGTCTCTGCCATGTGCTACCCTGCCTTGGAGCCAGCTGATTTTGAACTGAAACCTCTACGAACTGTGAGCTAAATAAACCTTTCCTCCCTTAATTTTGAGTGTTGGGTATTTTATCTCAGCAACAAGAGAAAAGTAACTAAGCAGCAGTCAGGTATCTGTCCTTTTGGAACCAAAGAGATAAGGGGAAGGAGAACGTACCAGAAAGGGGAAGGCTGAGGCAGGAGGACTGCTGTGAGTTCAAGTCCAGCCTGGACTACATAACAAGCACCCTATCTCCAAAATAAATAAGTAAATAAATAAATAAATAGAAAGAGCTAAACAGTTTCTTGGAACCTACTTTTCAGTTGGTCATGTAGCCTACATTCATAAACATGGCTGCTGTCTTTTACTGCATACTCCAATTTTCTCTTTTTGCCAGCAGCTAAGCAGAAGTCTCTACAGGTGGTGATAGAAACACATTCCTGGAAGAGCAGATGCTAATGGAAGCCCTTGCGGGTCATTCCACTGTCACGGGACCATGGCCATCTCGGTGAAACCCTGAATTCCACACATAGTACCTCTCACACCATGGTGTAGCAGCAATCCAATTCCCCTAGTTAAATGGGAACTGTCACCCAGGTGGGACAGTGATCTATTTTTGGTTTAATATCATAAGAAGTCCACACTTAAACCAGGTGTGGTGGTGCATGTCCTTAATCTCAGTACTCAGGAGGCTGAGGCAGGAGGATTACTGTTTGAGGCCAGCCTGGGCTACACAGTTGATTCAACACCATCCTACACAGTGAGAGTCTGTCTCTAAAACACACACACACACACACACACAGCCCACACTTGCTGGTGAGCTGTATTTGTATGTAATTCATCGAAACCCATGTTTCCTGTACAGTGGCACCTGCAAAACCACAAAAGTTTCCACAACCAAAAACTTCTTCAAGAGGGTTATTGGGTATAAAAGAACAGAGATGCATAAATACGTACACCAAAAAATGCATGCAAGGATGTTTATGGCACATCTACCAATAGTAAAATGGACAAACTGTGGTATAGTCTCAAAGCAGAACACTATATAGCAGTGAAAAATAAATGTACAGTTGCTACAAGCAGGTATGGTGCAACACACTGGTACTCCTAGATACCTGAGACTCTAGAGGCAAGAGGTTCAAAAGTTCAAAGTCAGTCTGGGCAACTTAGTGAGACCCTAGCTGAAAATAAGATAAAAAGAGCAGGGATGTAGCTTGGTAGTAGAATACCTGCCTAGCATGTGTGAGGCCCTGGGTTCAATACTGAGCACCACCAAAAGGAAAATCATGTAATTGCCTCTTGTGTGTGAGATATAATTTCTCTGGCTGTTTTTAAGATCTTTATCTTCATTTTCTCAGCTTGACTGTAATGTGCATGGGTGTGATTTCCTTTGTAATTTTCCTGCTTGTAGTCTGCTTAGCTTTGTGGATGTGCAATTTTATGCTTTTCATCAAATTTGGAAAATACTCTGCTAGCATTTTCTCAGAAAATTAAATATAGACATATAAAAAAGAGGGGTCAATTTTCACCGCTACCCTTCTCATACCTTCAAGGGCAAGAGGCACTCTTCAGGGGGTGGTTGGAAGAACACAGTACATGTTTATAGTTTAAAAAGCTTTTCACAGTAAAATGCACACTGCCAAGAACACGGGATGAGTGTGTTTGGAGCAAGGGGAGGATTGTGAGGGAATTAGTGCCAATGTGTCCTTGAGTGTAACACATTTTTAAATTGAAACACTTTGATCCCCCCCTTGCACAACAACCTATCAGCATCCTGCATTTGCAGTTGCTGTCTTCCCTCTGGTCCCATAAGCAGTCTTGTGATTTGTTCTCTCCTAGTCCTGTCCAGCCCATGAGTCACTGGAGACCTAAGTGGGGCCATGTGTTCTTGGTTCTCAGTGGAAGGGCCACGTGTGGTCTAGTGGCAGGGTGGTGCCTACTTCTGTCCACCCACTGCCAAGAGACCCATTCTTTTTCTCTTCCCTCAGCCGGTGAGGGAACCCTGGGAGCCCCGTCTCTGCGGGCTTTGGGGATGTGGGCACTGCAGGAGCCTGACTGCTGCTCAGAGGCTGTGGTCCTGGTCCCAGTCACATGTGGTGGCTGCTGTGACACTCAGCCAAGTGGGTGTTTGTGCTGAACACACAGTAGCAGGTCCTAAGGGACCGCATGATGCACACGGCCGCTCCAGGTCTCATGGCCAGGTGTTCCATGCCTTCTAGGTCCCATGAGGAAATCAGAAGCTGTTTCAAAGAAAAAGATCAAACAGAAAATTAGCTGAGGAAAACACAACCTAACTTCAAAACCCTGGGAGGTCTGTGCTGGAATTCCCCACTGGAAGAGAAGCCTTTGCTTGTGTGCCGGGCAAGGTGCACCGAGCCCATGCTTCCTTCTGTGGTTAGCGTCAAGCTCCAGAATGTGCACGGCTCAAATGCCTCAGCCTTACATCTTAGGGCCCACTCCTTCCCGGCAGCGCTCCTACCTTACAGTGTGAAACGACCATCTGAGCATTTAATTGGTGCTATGAAACTACCATGTCTGTCCTGTGATTACATAAGATGAGACTCCTTAGAAGCTGCAGGGAGGAGTTTTGAGTCCTCTCCTCTCCTCTTCCTCCTTCCTTCTTTTTTTCCTTTTGCAGTACTGCAGACAGAATGCAGGGCCTTGCACATGTTAGATAAGTACTCTACCACTAGACTACACCCCTAGCCCTTTTTATTTTGCCACAAGGTCTCCCTAAACTGCCCAAGCTGGCTTTGAACTAGGGAAAACGTCTGTCTGTCTTGATCACAGGAACAGCCAGATGGTTCCCCAACCCGCACACTGCCATGGTTTTCTGGAGATAACTCTCTGCCTTCACTCCATCCCTTGCTTTGGCTGGTGCTGTGGTTTGAGGTGTGTGCCCCCAGGGGTCTGCGGTGTGGCCATGTTCAGGGTGGTGGGTCCTGGTGGGCAGGGTTGGGGTTACCTGGGTGCTGCCCTCAGAAGGGATTACTGTGGCTTCTGAGGTCGTCTGCTCAGTCCCGGAAGAATGTTAGAAAAGATCAAGACTGGCACCTTCCTCGTCCCAGGAGACTTGCTGCAGGAGAGGAAAGGCTCCTGGCACTGGTCAGCCTGTCCCCAGTCAGACGCTAAGGCTTTCTTGGATGTTGGCTGTGGGTTCGTCTGCTCCACTCCGTCCCTTTGGGGTGGGACATTGTAGGACAGAGTGCCGCCTCCAACTCCCACAGAGCTGGGCTGGACACTAAGGGCCCCAGTGTACTTTCCCTAGGGCAGTGGTCTTGTGCCCTTGTCCATCCTGGCAGTAGGCCAGCTGGTGATACCCTCGTGCTGTCTTCAGGGCTCTGGGTGGGAGCACAGCGTGGAGTGGGGCCTCCTAGTGGAGTCTGATCCCTGGCAGGCCCTGTGGGCTGTGATGAGCAGTTTGCAGCCAGCCTCTGCCCCTGTTCACCCAGACCGTCGGCCCTGAAGATCCTCCTGGGCTCTGCGGGGCAGGACAAGTGTCCTACGCAGCATCACACAAGGCTGGCACTCCTGTGCCAAGGGGCTGTCCTTGCCCCAGTGAGGCTGCCCACGGGAGACATGTGAAGTGAAACTCTTTTGTTCTACCAGGGTACTGGAAACTCTTAGCTGGTCTCCCAGGCTCCACAAAGGTCTCATCTGTGGGTGGTGGGAAATCGGTGATTCTGTGGCTGTGTGAGGGCTGGGCTCCGTCGCACCTCCAGCTGATGTCAGTGAGGTGTTTATCTGAATGCGGCTCTCCGTGTTTACTGCTCAAAGGGAAAATATGAGCAAGGAGGTTAAATAAGGCACCGTACTTATTCTAAAACCTATTTATGCACATCACAAAACATTAGTCAAATTCCTGTTTTCTTTGATATTTAGTTTATTGTGATTCCATAAACATCTGAGGTAAATAAGAGTCTTCCCTGTTATTTAAATAATTACTTTATTAAATAGTTATGCGTCAGGGAGATAGCTCAGTGGCACAGTGCCTGACTGGCTAGCACAAGGTCCTGAGTGAGATTCCTGGTACTTAAAAAAAAGGTTACTAATGATTATATATGTAGATTACACTAAACAATGGAAGTTCTAAGGCAGAAAAATTATAAAAAGAAACTTCACACATCTATAGAATTAAATGTGTGTATATATGTATATTTGTGTGCATGATTTTATACCACAACCTTTTTCTGGTCAATGATCGCCAAAGTGGTGCGTCAGCGTACCCACACAGAATTATAGGGTAGAAAGGTTTTTCAAAGCTCATTCTACATTATCATGTGTCTCTAAGAATTTTATATAGGTAATTTTGTTTGCTGCTTTTTAGCACATGGTGTGGAAAATGATTTAAAAATGGTTTATCATGTTATTGATGCCGTCTGTTTCTCTAATTAAGCTTTTATTTTTAGCTGGCTACGCTTCCTCTTAAAGCTGTGGGTAGAGCAAGGCAGTTCAAATGTAGTTCCTTATGAAGGGAAAGTATGTGAGAACATCGGACACCAAGACCAGAATATTTGTTTTGAGCAGACTATCCTTTTAAAGGATTTATCCCTTAAAAATGTTTGAATTAGACAGATTTTTAAAAATTTGCTTAGTTTCTCATTTCCCAATCATTAATTTGACTCTCAATCATTAATTTGATTCCCAATCATTAATTTAGCCCAGGGTGGGTCTCCTCTCAGTTCGTGCAAATGTATTAGGTGCCCATTAATTTCACTTACTGTCCCAATCCATCAGCTTGTGATTCCACTCATTTCTTTTATTGTGGGTTCCTTGATCACATCCCTGCATCACAAAGCATTAGTCAAATTCCTGTTTTCTTTGATATTTAATTCATGAACAGTTGGATTAAGGTAATTTTCTTGGCTTATTTCTCACTTAGGAAGAACACATTCCTCCATTAAATTCCGGAGAAAGAATGCATGGAGTATGTATTTGTTGAAACATTTTGGGATTGAAAATGATTTTATTCCAGTTTTATAACTGGTTGATATTTGTCTTGGTAGAGCTGATACCTGAGAGAATGACAAGGATGAAACACAAAGAGACACAGAATAAGGTTAAAATGTGGAGGGCCAGGGAGCTTTTCTCTCCCTTCAACCAAGAGCCCCAAGTAACTGGCACACTCTCCTTTTATTCACTCAGACATGGGCACAAGCCATCACAGTAAAAAAGATTCATTTGCCTCCTATCATCCATGGTACATGTCCGGGTAAACAACAGGTGGATTAATTTTTCCTGCAGCATGGGAGCATGCACTCACGCTGCCTTTCTCCGTAGTGCTCACAGAGAGGCCAGTTAGGCCTTATTCTTCCTATCTGGTCTCCCACAATTACAAGTACTTCCACACAAGTCTGGAATATTGTTTCATGAGTCTATAATTGTCAGAGCTCCTATTGAGAAGTCCAGTCCATTTCTCTCTGTATGCATCACATGAAATCTACTCTCCTCTCTCTAAACTTGTACAGTCTATTCTTTGTAGGGTCAAGGGAGAGGATGAAGATGCTCAAAGAGCTCCCCAAATCTGCATGTGTTCCCTTGAAGATGTTATGCCTCTCAATCTCAGTTAGGTACTCAATAATCACACACAGTTCTTGATGCACCATGGCATTCCATGGGCTGTGCAGCCCCAGATGGACCAGTGTAGAAACAAAAGCAGCTTCTTCATAGTTTCAAAGATGGGAGTTTAAATATAAGACGAAAACCAGAACTTGTGTAGTCATATAACATGTCACTTCTTCTTAGAACACTATCATTTTCAAATGCTAGTTTCATGTACTGCCAAGATGGCAGGGTTGTGGAACTGAAAAGCAGGATTTAAATTTAAAATAAAGGGAAATCTAAGAACATATCACTCACAAAAGTACAACGAGTTTTTTCTTTTTTTAAATTGGTGGGGTTAGGAACTCTCTCCTTGTGGCACAGCTTGTATCATACATCATATATAGGTCATGTATAATCCACATTTCTTTTTTAAAATTTGAGGCAAAAAGTTTTCTCCATATAGACGTCCAGTTCTTATGTTTCTTCTATTTGAAAATATGAAACTATCCACACGTACTGCTAAGGGGGTCACACACAGAAAACCTCTATCCGGTAGAATTCCTTTTATATGAAATTTGAAAACATGTACAGCAAATAGAACTGTAGTGGTGGTGGTGGTGGATGAGGTTCCAAGAGGCACAGGAAGTCCTCTGGGGCGCTAGACATATTCTATATGTTGATACAGGTGGTGGATACGTTGAATTGAAGCATTTTACTACACTATGTTACACAAACTGAGCCATCTATTTGTAAATTTCTTAAGAGAAAAACTTGAGTGGCCCTGAGAACATTACTGAACACAGTCTGTTTTGTCCTTAAGATGACAAAACCTCTCATTAAGAAATATTTAGTGGCGCTTTCAAACCTTTCTTCCTACAGTGCACCCCACCTCCTACCTCCCCAAAGACGCCCCTACATCCAGATTACAGCCAGCTCAACAGTGAGGGGCAAGGGGGCCGCGACACATCGCTTCATGGCCCATCCTCCCTCCAGCCAAGGTACGCTTCCAGAAGTAAACGGAAGGGATATGTATGCAAACACCAACTTTTTAACGGTCACTTTATTGTCTCTTGCAGGTCCAAGCTCAGGGGCATGGACGTCGTGGTGTTTGTAGTATAATTTTACCTTGACAACTTTGAACAGGTTATAATGATGGAAAAGAGGTTTATCAAGGTTTTCATTAACTCTGTTATCTTTCTCCTACTAGGTATTGCAGGCGGGGCCTTTGCACTGAATTACACCCCAAACCCTGGTAAACATTTGTATTTTGAGACCGCGTCTTCTGGTTGCCCAGGCTGGGCTAGAACTTGCAGAGCACTGTAGATCTGGCCGAAGCATCCAACTCGAAGATGGTTTCTAAGGCTTCCGTCCTTTGCCCTTCCGGAGGGCCCGGGGTGTGCGAAGGGGCAGGGACGTCGCTGGGAGCTCAGGGTATCCACCTCCCGACCACAGTTCCAGCCGCCTCGTGTCCGCAGCCCCGCGCGTTCTCGCGGTCGAGCACGCGCACGTCACGCGCCGCGGCCAATCGGCGCGGCCGTCTCCCACGCGCCCCGGGCGCAAGCGCGGCAGCGAGCCGAGGTTGGCGGGGCCGCTGAGGCGCGGAAGTCGCTGGCCGCCATGGTTCTGGAGAGCGTGGCCCGCATCGTGAAGGTGCAGCTCCCCGCCTATCTGAAGCGGCTCCCGGTCCCGGAAAGCATCACCGGCTTCGCCCACCTCACAGGTAGCGCTCGCCGTCCTTGCGCGCCGTGGGGGAGGGGCGAGGATCCTTGTGCGAGGGGCGGGGCGAAGCCGAGCACGCCTCCCCGTGACCACCGTGACCCTATGCGCCTGCGCCCACATGCGCAGTGGTGCCGGGAGCGTCCGCGCCGCCGTGTGTCAGATCTAGTGCTCGTGGCTGTCTGCGGCGTCCAGCGTGTTGGGCGGCCCGGATGTGACCCAGCGGGAGCCGGAGGAGGAATAGGAATAGGCTTGTCCCTCTGTCCTCAGTCCGCGTCGGTCGGCGGGCGTGTTTTAGAGCTCGTTCGGGCGGGCTCAGCCCCCGAGCGCTGGGTGGCAAGGAATAGATAGCGCGTGGGCAGGAGGCGCGCGCGACACTGACGGAGTTAGAAGACAGCTGTACCCCCTCTGGGGGACGCGCGAGGTCACCCCCAGACTGCCAGCCCCGGGAAGGAGGCCAAGTAGATGTGACGTGTGCTTAAATTAAGGTTCTCGCTTACGCAAGGCCGTGACGTCTCCGGATGCGGTGCGTCCTTGGGCTGGATCGGGTGTGAGCGCTGTGGGAGCGGGGCCTCGGGCTGGTGAGGAAGAGCGCACCTGCTGGCCGCTGCGTGCCGGGGGTCCGGCTGCGAGCCCCGGACCTGCAGTCGCAGACCTGGAGTCCTTCGTGGGCCGGGGAAGGAATGCGACACTTGTCCTGCCTAGACCCGAGAGAGTCCGTGCAGAACTAGTGCTCGTTATGCGGAAGTGGATTACAACTTTAGGGAAGGTTTCTGGTTTTCTTTTTTCAAGAATGGTTTCGTCACTGCGTGTCTTGGCCTCACGCCTCTAACCAGCGCTCACAGGCTGAGGCAGGAGGATCGCAAGAGAGCCCAGCACGGGCAGTTTAGCCTCCTCGCGAGACTGTCTCAGAATTAAGAAAAAAGGGGCCGAAATTCCGTTCTCAGCGCGGGGGCGGGGGTTCTTTCCTCAAATAAATGTACCTTTTGTGGTAGCTCCCTCCACAGACTGGTGGTGGGTGGGTCTAGCTGGGGTTAACTAGGTGTTGTATTCTCCAAATATACAGGATTTTATGGTCAGCGACAGTTGCTCTATTAAGTGGATTGTGAGTTTTAGTATTTAGTAGAAAACGTAATTGAGTAAAAAGCATGGTGATAATAGGATGAAACATCTAAACTAAATGTCACGCAATTTAAAGGGGGAAAAAGCTTTCAAATCATTAGGTGTTTATAAACATCACAATCTTGATCCAGCTTTTACTCTGCCCCTGACTGTATTGTAAGACTGTATACTCTCACGCTGTAAACACTGTAGCACAGACAGTGTCCGGCAGACAACTGAGCTACTTCCACGATTTGTTCGCATCTATGAGTGGTCATAATGGGAGGTCCGTTTGAATGTTGCAAGTTAGCAGTTTATTGTATAGTTCTCCTTCAGTGTAAATATCCACATACCAGTTTCCTTCCTTTGAATTACACTTTTTTGGAAGGTGAGGGGCTTTTTGAGACAGGGTTTTATTATGCAGTTCAGGCTGGCCTTAAACTCACTTTGAGGCGCATACTGGCCTTGAACTCACAGACATCCTCCTGCCTCAGCCTCCCTAGTGCTAGGATTGCAGGCATGCACTAGCATGCCTATCTTGAAATATACTCATGAATGTACAGTGTTCACTAAATTAGTAATACTGGCTAAAAAGGGTACTATCTGTGACAGTTACTGTCTTTTGCAATTTACCTTAATAATTTGTGTAAATTAACCTTTCAGCAATCCAGTGCAACTTGAATTGGCCTGAATTTATAACAGTTTCAGTTTTCTGTAAATGGAGTGATACTGAAACAGGTTAGAAAGTGAAACTGGGTTTTGTGGCTGGGAAACATGTTTTCTTGAGGATCTCTGCTGCTGTCAACAAATACACAATTCTTACTACACATATTAAGAGCTGAGTGTGGTGGCACACACCTTTAATCCATCACTCAGGAGGCTGAAGCAGGGTCAGCACAGTGAATTGGATGCCAGTCTGGGCTACTTAATGAGTTGAAGACCAGCCTGAGCTGCATAGGGAGACTCTGTCTCCCCATTCCCTCCCCTCCCCAAAAAGGCAGTAAGAAAACTCAACCAAAAGTTTATAACTTAAATCAGTAAGTTCTCAAAAAAAAAGTTCCATTATAGTGTGCACAATTAATTCTCATTGCTTATTCAGGAAATAAATATAGTTGTAATAACTGCTTTATGGAAAGATGAAGTAATCTATTTATTCATGTATACATACATAAATACATACATACCGGAAATCAAACTCAGGACCTCGCACTTGCCAGGCAGGCACTGTGTCACTGAGCTATATTCCCAGCCCAGGTAGTCTGTTTTAAATTAGACACTAAAGTTGCAGGGCCCGTTTTGAAGTAATACAGATGAAAACTTCAGTGGCTGTTTCCTACTCTGAATCTTCCCCTTCAAAGTAGACTGTCATTTGGCTTTCTTGAATGAATTACTTGTGGAATTTATTATAGACTTTTGTTGAAATGAAGACTAGGAAAACAACTTTTCAGCATTTAAATGTCTAGGAGACCAAAAAAATTCTCACTCTCTTTTATGAAAGAGAGCTAAATAGTAGAGCTAAATAATTTACCGTTCACAATGAATGTAATTGTTATTTACTACAAACATCTAATAAAAATTTAAAGTTACAGCTTCCATTATTGCCTGTATTTCCTTCCCTATTTAGGTCTAGCAGTTTTTCTAAGTAACCTGCTCTCTCATGATGACTCCGCATTCTTAGAAAAAACATGGAGATCCTTAATTACCATACATGATTTAAATACAGACAGTTCTTATCTATAAGAAAAACCTATTTTTTGTTTGTTAAATTTTGTAGAGGAATGCCTTTAAGATAAATGAGTATAATTGTATATTCGAAGTATAGTACATTCTAATACTTTGACTAAAAATGTTTTTTCTTAATACTGTACCATATAAACTTTCTCCCTCTCCCTCTCTTGCTCTCACTTTCTTGCTTTTTTCGATGGTACTAGGAATTGAACCCAGGGCCTTTGCACCGAACTCTATCACCTCGGTTTTTAAATTTTAGTTTGAAATGGGGATCTCACTAAATTACCCAGGCTGGGCTTGAACTTGTGGTCCTCCTGCCTCAGTCTCCCAGAGTGCTCGGGTTACAGATGTTCACCACCACTATGACTGTTTTCTTGAGACAATCTCACTGTGTACTGCAATCTGGCCTTGAACTTGTGATCCTTCTGCTTCAGCCTCCCACATTCTGGGGATATAAATGTCTGTCACTGCACCTGGCTGATCATAAACATTTTTAAAACACCTCCAACAACAATCAAAACTCAGAAAACAGTTTTCAGATTTATAAGCTTACCATGAAATTCTTTTTACTTGAATTAGTTTTTCGTCTTCCATGAAACTTTAGCAGGTTTTACTCTTTCAAGACAAATCAGTGTGAGACTCTTTGTTTCTTGAGACAAGGTTTCAATATGTAGTTCAGGCTGGCTTTGAGCTCACTAACATGGCCTGCTTCAGCCTCCTAAGTGCTGGGATTACAGGTGAGGGCTCCACGCCCAGATAGTGTGAGACTTCAATATATTCCCAGGGTAGCACACATGCCAGAGTTGATAGGCGCAAGTGTTATTTATCCAATTTTAGTATATGTGCTGTCGAAGCGAGCACGTGTTATTTACCAGAAGGGGCCAGTTTTGAACAGAAGATAAAAGTGAAATAGAATTGGAAGTGACGTGAAAGGACTTGTACAAGGATGTTCATGGCAGCCTTATGTATACTAGCCCCTAGCTGGACACGATTCAATTATCTACCAAGAGGAAAATGGATGAACATGTTATGGTATGTTCATAAAGTAGAATACTGGTCAGCAGAGAAAAGGAAAGAATACCCATCCACGAGGTGAATAGCAGAAACTTTGGTGACAGAGGATTTGGTTATAAAAATCAGCAGTGGGAGAATAAATGGTGTAGGGAATACTTTCTGGGGTAATGGAAGTATTTACATATTTTTATTTTCAGTGTCAGCTACAAGGGTATATTTACTTATGACATCAAAAGCCTACCATTTAAGATCCATTTTTTTTTTTGTACCGGGAATTGAACTCAAGACCTCACACTTGCCTGGCAGATGCTATGCCCCTGAGCTAAATCCCTGGCTTGTTTTACTATATAATTCAGAATTTTTTAGGAGAAAGGAACGGAACAAAAGGTGAGTTTTCCTAATAAGATAGCATAGAAATCATTAAAATTCAAACCAAACACAGTTGTATTTATAAACATGCAAATAATAAAGATTATTTCTGAAAGACTAAAAAATTTTATTTTAGAAACCTTTTTTGAGAATTTAGGAAAAATTTATTACTGTCAAATTACAAAGTTTTGTATCTTCATAGTCCACCTGTATTTAACAGCATAATCGAGGAAGATGGGGGGGAAAGAAGTGTAATTGGGGATTATTTGACCTTTGTGGTTTTTATGTAGGCATTTGTGGGTCTCATCTAAAACATTTTCCTCCACATAGCTTGTCAGCAATGTAAAGCTCCTCAAGTCAAGTCTTTATTCAGCCTCTGCTGTCCATTGGCCCCACAATGTTCTACATGGTAGGACACTGCTTTATTTGTAATGGAATTGAAAAAGATCTTTGAATTGGTCATTACTTTTATTTGATTGGTCCTTTAATCTTGACACACTTTATATTTAAATAGTAAAGCCATTCGATGATGCTTTGTTTCTGCCTTTTCTAGAGTTGAGAAGTGGAAATCATGTCTGGGTCTTAGCTTCTTAACTGTAAATAATACATAAAAAATGTGACAAAGTTAATGGCAACCAAGTTGTATTATTTTTATGTTTTTTTTTTTTTTTTTTTTTTATACCAGGAATTGAATTCAGGACTTCGCAAGCAGGTGCCAAGCATCATTGAGATAAATCCCTGGCCCTCTCCCCAGGTTTTATTATATGCAGCCTTTTGCAGATTTGTAAAGAA